GACAGTGCTGGGTGGGGGGTGACCCTGTGACTGCCTGATTCCCTGCGTGCTTGACTCGACTGCTCCTTGCTTTTTTATGAGCTGAGAGGTGACTCAGGTGACTAGGACTGAGGGAGTATTTTATGAAGAAGAGTCCAAGGAAGCCTTGTAAATTTCAACATTTCACTACTTAACTTACAAATTAGATTTTTGACTAATTAAAAATAAATAGCTAGCCCGGCTGGGCGTGGCTCAGCAGTTGAGTATCGACCTAGGATCCAGGAGATCGGGGTTCGATTCCCGGTCAGGGCACATGCCCGGGTTGCGGGCTAGACAGCCAATCAATGACTCTCTCATCATTGGTGTTTCTATCTCTCTCTCCCCCTCCTTTCCTCTCTCTGAAATCAATAAAGATATGTTTTAAAAAAAAAATAAATTAAATAGCTAAGAAGATTTCTAGGGAGTGAGCAGGTTACAAGGCGAGATGATTCCCCCGCGTTGGATGCTTTCCCTTGAGCTGCTTGCCTGGCTGCACAGTGGTCAGAGGAAACGCTGTCCTCCCAGCAGGGGGAAGCGACCGTGGATCCTTGCCCCTCACATCTCACCCAAATCCCCAGCCTCCTCTAATGCCAGCCTGCTGCTGCTACTTTTAACCCTGTTTTCATGTGAAAGCCCTTTTGAAAACTTCCTGAGACCCCAATCTAGGGTCAACAGTGAGGGGCTGAGAGCAAGATTAGGGCTCATTTGAGGCCAGGGTAGGGCAGGCTCCTTCCCCTTTGTTACAGCATTGCCTTCGAAGTTGAGCTTTCCCAGAAGGAAAATCCTTTCCTTTGTTCTCTGCTCCCTTTCAGTTCTCCATGCTTCTGGGAGGTAGCAAAGGTTAACTTCTTGTTTCCTCCTTCAGGGCCGCCTCACTATCACGCAGCCACGTCTGGCTCCTGCAGGACTGTGTGCTAGAGGTACCACTGGGTCTGTCATTCCCGCCCCCTCCTGGGGCCCTGGGAGGCCTGCGACAGGAAGGGAGAACAGGGAGGGGAAGTTAAATGACACAGAGAGTGAGGCTGGGGAGGGGCAAGGTGTGGAGAGGATGGGCTGTCAGCTCTCCACGCTGCCTGCAACAGGCCCAGCCTTTACTCGGAAGGCCCCCAGTGCATTCAGGTGCAGTGTCATAAAGCCCGTCGGACCCTGACCGGGTTGCTCAGTAGGTTGGAGCATTGTCCCCCGTGCACCAAAAAGGTTGTGGGTTCCATCCCCAGTCAGGGCATGTGCCTAGGTTTCGGGTTCCATCCGAAAACCTGTATGGGAGGCAACTGATCAATGTTTCTCTCTGTCTCTCTCTAAGATCAATAAACATATCCTCAGATAAGGATTAAAAAAAAAAAAAAAGTCCATCGATCGGTTCTGCTCCTTAATCGCTGTGAGACCCCAGGCAGGTCCTGAACCACTCTGAGCCTCAGCAGTGGGGAGAGGAGCAATGAAGGTCTCCTAAGAACGCCCTGTGGTTTCTCTAAGGGTTGTCACAGGAAGCCTCAGAGCCAGAGACTGCTCTCGAAGTGTCAGCTCATGCTGTCCCATTGTTATTGGTCCTCGGGACCTCTTCGTAGAAAAGGTGGGTCTCTTATGAGCAGATTCCAAATGCAACTCCCCAAGATTTATGGAGATGCCAGTACTGCATTTGCCCCAGGCTTTGCTCTTGGGGGGAAACAAGAACACGCGGTGGTAATAAGGGGATAATGCCCGATGGTGGGGCCTCCATGACAAGGAGGTGTCTTCAGACCGGAGAATGAAGCAGGCAACTCCAGAGCATATGACAGGACTTATTATGGGTTGTTTAGTTGCTGGGATGTAGGGTCGGAGCAGACAGACGGCCCAGCACCCGCACGTGAGTCTAACAGGCCCCTTACTGTGCCTTTTTACACTGTAACTCAGGCCCTGGTGATTGACAGGACAAAGGGAGAAGGAATGCAGCAGCTCCAGGGCCCGGTTTGATAATTATCTGAGCTGTCACACCATTCGGCCATTGCTAACAAAAATATTTATGGCTCATCTTAAGGAACACCGATAATCATCAGCTAGAGGTTCTGATGTGCCTGCTAAGGACAGCAGCAGATCCGGGCACAGAGATGGAGTTAGTTTCCCAGGAGGTTTGTTAGTTTCATTTACTTCGAATCTTTACAGATAAGGTAGGACACGACCCCTGTCTTGCAAGAGTGATGCAGGAACGTGTGGAGAGCACCCCGAGGCGGGAAATGGGGGTGCTCAGCCACAACTGCCAAAGGTCCCAGGACCTCATGAGGACGAGCTTACTCGAGGGCCTGGCATTCCTGAAGGGCTTGGATTGAGGGTGAGGCGTTCGCTGGTTCAGACTAGGACTAGGGGGTAACACATATAGAAAGTCAGGCTGTGGGAGAGAGGGAGGCGGCCCCATGTGACTCTCCTGAGTTCACTCAGGAGATATTTAGGGGGCGCATACTCTGGGCCAAGCACCCGGATGTAAAGTTAAGAAGACATGACCTCTGGAGTGAGCCCTGCCCAGCTGGTGCTGGGCCTTTGAGGAGGGGGTGCTGTGGGATGGGGGTCACCTTAGAGGAGGAGAACAAGGACCTTGGGGTTGGAGCCAACTGCCACTGCTGCTGGAGTGACAGTGACAGGACCTGGGAGCCAGGAACTGTGGTTGCAGAGGTCCAGCTGCAACACAGGGCGGCCCATATCCACACCCACCCCATGTCTAGACTTCTAGTCCTATTCTTTCCCTGACTGTCTGGCCAAACCCCGAGCAATCTTCCCTGAACCAGTGGGCCCTATCAGGGCAGAAAAGACGGGCAAGGCAGCCTGCTGCAGGGAGGCCACCCAGTGGGCCTCACTATTGCACAAGTGCTCGGGAGGTAACAACTGAACCGGTGCTCCGGCTGAGAGGCAGGAAGGGGCCCAGCACTTGCTGACCCACTGGACCCGGCGCCCCAGACAAGAAGCCTTGCAGATAAGAAGTGCCCCACCTGCCGCCAGCACCCTTCCAGGAGCTTTTCAGTGGAGAACTCTCCCCCCACCCAACCCTGGGGAACAGAGGAGGTGGATCCTCGGGAGGCAGGAGAGCTTTCTAGAGTGCTGTCCAGACTGACAAGCAGAAGGAAGGGGCTGGAGGAGGGAGGAGTGGAGGACCCCTTATCCCTCTTATCTCAAAGCACCCTTGTCTGTTCTCCCAGGAAAGCAGCTTCCATAGGGTCTGGGAGGTGATGGCGCAGGAGATGTTTGCGGTTGAAACCAATAGGTGTTTGTTGTCATTGGTACAGGCTCCTAGAAGAAATGCCCGTCTATGGCTGGGCCACAGTGGCAGGCCCAGAGGTGCCACGGGGTCCCATCTGCATGGGAATCAGGCCCAGGAGGGTGAGATTGAGCAGGAGCAAGTCCAGCAACTATCTCCTGCCTCCTTTCTCCAGTTGCTCAGCAGCTGGTACCAAGCACCTGCTGTGTGCCAGGCTCTGTGCCTGCACTGGGGATGCAAAGGCCACAGGACACAGTCCTGCATCCAGGGGGCTCAGGGTCTGGGGCGGAGGCAGTGAAGAGAGACAATGCCATGAGGGAGGTCACCAAGGGGTGTCCTGGGGACTTGGTAGTTAGGAGGGGCTTCCTGGAGGAGATGAAATAGTTCTGGTCCCTGCCCTCTAGGGTCTGGTCATAGACATGGTGGGGGAGGGGGAACTGAGCAGGCTGTTAACCAGGACTGGAGTGAATGGTGACATCCTGGGTCCTCAGTGCCTGACAAGAGAACATGGTCACTGGTCACAAAATGTCTGTGGATTCCTGGGGGAAGGAGAAGGTGGGGGACCTACCCGAACCCAACTCTAGGACTCATTTGGTGACTTCCTTAAGACATGTGAAGGGACATAAAGTTAGTAAACATAGGAGCGAAAGGGGAGACCAGGGTGGAGGGAGGCCAGTGAGCGGGGAGACTGCCCACTGGCCTCTATGGGGACGGGATGCACTTGTCCTGCTTCTTTGTATGTTTTCAGTTCTTCCTAACTTTTCTAAGGTGCATAAGTAAAAAAAATTAAAAAGTAAAAATAATTTTGCCCCCATCAATGCTTAGTTTTGGGGAGTGTTTCAGAGACAAGAAGGAAAAGCCCTTTAGACTTTGGACAGGAATGTTTCTATTAGTGTATCTTACGTTATACCGTGAACCTGCACTGTTTAGTCAGCCAGAAGTTGGGTTAGTGGAGACCAGGGTCTGAATGGGTGGGTGTGGTCTTGGGGAGGAAACAGGCGGCTGGGAGAGAGGAAGGCAGAGGAGACCTGGCGCTGACTCACCACCCCTCCCGCTGGGGCATCCTGCCCCGCCCGGCCTGAGCACACCCAGGGTGGGCCCTGATTTCCCTGGCCCGCAGCCCAGCCCGGTCCTGAGAGCTCCTGTGGGCACCAAGGTCTCCTTATATGACCCAGTCAGGCAGGAGGAGCCTAGATGGAGCTCTGGCCAGCACTATTGTTCCTCGAGTGGACCGGATGACACCAGGGCCGTCACTGGGGACCAAAGGACCAGGCTGGCAATTTCCTGCCAGCTTTAAAGCCATAGAAATTCTCACTTCATGAGTCAGGACAAGCGAGTGAGTGTTTGGAGGTGAGCTAGGTTGAATTGTGGAGCATAGAACTTCCAAATAAATGCTAGTTGTTCGGGAGCCTGAGTTCCGGTCCAGGCCTGCCACATCCCAGTGGGTAACAGAAAGAAGTCACTTGGCCTCTCAGAACCGGTTTAGGAGGTGACGATGCCCAGAAAGAGTCCCCAGGCTTCCAGTCTCTAGACACAAGGGTGGGAGCTGCCTGTGGGCTGTAAGCAGCACCCCATGGGCATTGGGTCTCTGAGCTGCCACAGAGAGGCCTGTAGCAGGAGAGGCGGGCTCCTTGGGCTGGATTTGGGCGTTTTCCTTCCAGCTGGAGGTTTCTGAGGCTTCCTTGTGGTGGCACAGCCTGTGCTCACCTGAGCATGAGGGAGGGGAAGGAGAGGAAAGCTGTCATGAAAATTAAGACAAGTGGTAAGAAAAAGAATGCAGTACTGGAGGTGGGTGAGACCCGCCACGCTGAAATCCGGCCAGCTATGCGGAAAAACCTGCCACTGGGTATCGCCTGCGAGCGCCTCCCTGGTTCTCAGCTCCTGGCCGACCCACCCCGGCCCACAGCCCGGCCCATGCTAGAGGCCCAGGCTCTGCACACCCGAGATTGCACATCTTCGGGCTCCTCCTTTGTGCTTCATGTGGGTCATTGCTCGGGCAGCGTCTGGCGTCAGAACCTGGTGGTGGGTGAAGTTCACTCTGCTGCAGCAGCTCAGGCCCTGCCCCTCACCTGCCCCTCACTTGCTCCAGCCCCTCACCTGCCCCAGCCCTTCACCTGCCCCTGCCCCTCACCTGTCCCAGACCCTCGTCTGCCCC